GATACGCTCAATATTGGATAGGTTCTTACGATTTAAAACCACGAGAAATTGAGTTTTTCTCGTGATGGTGGAGAGTGCAATACCTTTTATGCCAGATTCTTCTAAACTAGTACTCTTAGATTTAATTGATCATAGAGATTGAGTACTTGGCCTACTAGACTTGATTACCTTTGTTGATATAGGAGTGCCTTTAAAATGCAAAATCTGTCATGCCAAATACTCGATCGCCATGATCAGTTAAAACTTGAGAATACTAGCTCAAGAAGAATACACAATAAAATTTGTCTGTACATTCCACCATGATGATAAAATATAGTTTCTTGTGGGTTTGAATTGTAAGAACCTACATACCCAGGTCCTTTACCCCAGATTGAGCATATATATGCATGTGGTGCCTTTTGTAAACTCTTAAAGCAAGTATTTGTCATAACACTGAAATTCACCAATTCCGGCATACTTCAGTCCGAATTGTGTAGGATATGATAAATATCGTAGTTCTTTCCAAGGATCAAGTCCTATCTCGATTTCTGAGATAACTCCTCTCTCAAACATCTCATTAAACTCTAGACTGAAGCTTCTAATACAATCAAGGTAAACCTCAAGTATAGTTTGTCCTCTTAAGTCAATTTCTTTGTCAATTCCCGAGCTTCATTCGTGGTTTCTTCTCTCATATCTATCAGTAAAAAAAAATATGTTAGGATTTTCGCAGCTGATTTTTTCAACCCACTGTGGAATGAGAATATGAACTTTTTCGCTAACGTTGACTTCACATTCGTGGAATGAAATTACTATCTTCTGTTTCATATTATGGTCTCGAATAATTTTGAAAAAGTCTTTTGTACCCACTCATATTGTACTTTTTGGAGCATGTCCCTCCACTATACCTCACCAACAATCTACCATGACACCAGCTACATTAACTGGCTTCAATATCTTTAGTTGGTTTAACAGATCGCTAGCATCCACAATTTCACATATACGTGAATGTAAGGCGACTCTCGGTCATACAACTCTGGAATGGTTGAACATTCTCAACGCTTCACATTTTGCAAGAAGTCTTAATAAATATGTGTTTGTACAGTGAACAAGTTAATCTAAGTAGGAGGACTACTTTTTACGTGTAAGTGCACAAAAAGTAAACTTGGAAGGACTCCTTTACATATTATACTAAAATAAGAAACAGAAGAAGGTTTTCAAGTATTCTGAATTCTAACTCGTTCTTTGTTTCATCCTGAATGAAGGAAAACCTCCTCACCTGTCCATTCCCAAATGGCCTCTAGCTTCCTTAGATAAATAAGCTTCATTTAGGTAAATGTTGGGTGGCAAGTGAGTGATTCTTTCAGCTAAGCAGTTAACAACCATGACAGTGGTTCAAAGTTATTTTCTCAAAATTACTGCTCAACTCCTTGATCTTTGTCAACACTGTTTGAATTTTCCAAGGACTAGTGCATTCAACGTTGATGTATAAAATCAGTTGTTGTGAATCTGATTCAAGCTCAATTTTACTAATTGAATTGGCCAGACACCACAGTATCCCAATAAGAATGGCTTTTCTTTCAGCTGCATTGTTACTTCCTTGTCCCAATGGATAAGAGTAAAGATATTATCTGACCTCTAGAGTTTATCAAATTATCTCCAACACCACTACTTCCCGGATTCCCGAGGCTACTATCATCAGAATTCAGTTCAAAGACAGAGTATTTAGCTCTCTCCCATAGTACTTTGTTGACCTGTTTCCTTAGCTTAATCATGTGAGTCATGCTACGAATATGAGTCCAATTCTGTTGCTACACAATCTTTGGAAACTGTAGCTGTATGAAGCACACCATAGAACCGACGACCTGGACTTTGTTTCTGGCACATCCGCACCATAGTACTCCCTTGTTAGAACATGTGTACCCATAATTCCCAGCACACAAGAATAGGTAGACATCGGAAACTCTCCCTGTGTCTCATTCTTGTGCCCTTTAGCCATCAATTAGTGACCTGATAGCTGAAGGTAATTGCAGTACCCTGTACTCCCAAGGCATAATCAAAGTATGATCACACTTGCCATTTCTCCATTCAGAAAAATATATTCTAATGATTCCTCATCAACAGTATTATAACAGCAGCATTTTGGAGAAACATTGTATTCCGTATTTGTTAGCTTATCATCAGTAGGTAGATTCTTTCTCATAGATCACCGAAACAGAAATGAGCGTCTGAAGGGATTCTTCTGTGCCATATCATCTTGTTTGTAGAAGAAGGGCCTGAGTAGTGGTTATCAGGGGGCATTAACATCACGGATCAGTACTTCAAGTACCTTTAACAGAAAATTAGTTAATAGAGTCTGTTGCAGCATCTCCTGATCCCAGGTTTGCTCTTTAATGAATTATGATTTTGTTGCTTTGTTTGGCCCGATATCATCAGGTATCATATTTTCAAGTGCTCCACCGTCTGTCCAACTGTCCCACCAAAAGGATACTTCTCCTTGTTTATTCTCCATAGCAAGTGTTCCTCTTTCTCATTCTTGTTTTCAACCAGTTTATTCCACATCTGCAAGTGGCCTCCTTCCAATTACCTTGGAACTGATGTGATCCCTGACAATATTTAGCTTTCATAAAATCGCCTTTTGATGTATTTTTGTTCTAAGAATATCCACCATTGTATCATTATTCGTTGCATTGTTGATTTCCCTATTCTTCTGAACCTAATCCCTCTTTCAGTGCATGGGTAACACAATTTTTTCCGAGATATGCCCAGTGATAATTATCCCATGCCAAAATAAATTTTCCATATGTTTCTCAATCTGATCCATGACTGTACCAGCAGAACTGATAATACTTTCCAATTCATCACATTTGGTCCAGCTGAGCTCCGTAGATTCATGGCAAAAACATTTCCTTAATGGTAGGCAAGTCAGTCAAAGTTGTATTATCACCATCTGTCTTATTTTAGAAGCTGACCTAGAGTAGACATGTCTTGTCTTCAGAGTCAATAAAGAGTTGTGGAAAAATTGGTAGCAGCCAGGAGCAACTAGGCTCTGAGACATAAACACTTCAAAGAATCAAATGTTGTCATATCACATTTTAATCTTCCTTGCATACGCATATGCAGTTTTCTCATAACTATTTAATCTTCCTCACAAGGTAGGGGTAAGGTCTGCGTACACAGTACCCTCCCCAGACACCACGGTGTGGGATAATATTTGTTTCTATATTTCATGAAGCGAGGGTTTATCTAATTCTTTTTATCTACACAGAGATAATTGATCATACTGTGTAATTTCCATGTCTTGTATCTACATCACTGGATATACTCTCTTTGTTTAAAGGATTTCACAAAATCGCAAGTGCTAAATGATGCATGGGATGTCAATATACTAGTTGCGGGTAAGAATGTACTTCGGTCTTACCATAGAGAAGGCTACAACAAGATATTGGAAAATGCCAAGCGTTTGAGTGATCTGTTTGGTAGACACTTATTTGCTTTTACCTTACCTCATGCCGAGCCCAACTCTATTGGAGAAACACAATACATGGAGTTTGAACAATTTGTGCAAAATATGCATAGTAAGAAGAATTGTCGAGGATTCATTGAAAATCTAGTATGCAACTACCAACTGAAATGTAGTGAGTTGTTTGTCATCTATGATTGAGAATGAACGCATTCTTCTTTAGAAGTTTACATCTATCTGGATAGAAGAAGTTGCCAGGAAAAGGAATTATGGGGAAAATTGAATGCTAGAAACCAGAATCTATTGCACTGAGTAGGTGATTGTTAAAATAATAGCCTAATTTTCTGATATCATGTATTTTGGAACCTCTCCCCTTGTTGTACTAAGATCTTTTGAATTTATCTTATGAAAATGGGTTGTATATTCTTGGTGAACTGAAAGAACAGGTTAATCTTGTTGAACAGTTGGTCCTTAGCCCTCCTGAAATGCAATGGGGGATGCTAAGCTGAAAACATGGAAGTTATCGGGTGATGAAAACATGGAAGTTGGTTGTTTGCAATGGAATACTCATATTTTACAACTAGCAATTTCTTTTTAACAATCAAACAATTTTCTTCATTTCTTCGTCGATCATCGTTGCCAAAGACTACTAGCTTTCACAGGTTAAAAATACAACGTGAAATTGCTTGTAATTACTTCTCCTTTTTTCATTCTCAACTACTTTTATTTCTCAGATTCCTTTGGAATCGTTAAAATTGTCCAAGTCAGCAATTGACTAACATCAATTTGTCATTTGGTGAAACGAAGTATTAGTTCATTAGAGGTTCACTTCTCGATTATGTGACAGGTCGAAAACGGTAATGAAAAAATGGAGAAAATATTCGACCCGACCCATATTTAATACGGATAAAAAATGACTTAACACTCATATTATACATGGCTTCATGAATATGATCACTTGTGGAGAATTTCTAATCTCCCAAATTTGAGGACCTCCAATTTGAGGTTTTACAAATGTAAAAGTTACCTTTAGTTATTCATTGGTTATTCATTTTCTAAATGGATAATATAGTTCTTATTCATATTTGTTTTCAAAAAGCTTCCATTTTTTAATGGATAATATGAGTGAATTAACTGTTTTCTTTTAACCCTTTTGTCACCCCTACTTTAAGCTGATAAAGGGTCTACAAATAATGGCTTATCTACCACCAGCAAACAATTAGCACCTGCAAATATGTGATATGTATGGACAGTAAAAATTTCAACATTTTCCATGAAGTTTGAACTATGACAGTTCAAAACTTCGTGAAAATTTTTCGGCTCAAATATTTCTTAAACTGTATTAAAAGAAAGGATTTAAATTATAGACATTAATTGTATAAAAATTATTGATATTACGGTACAATTTGTCATAGCAAACTAGTTTATTTTACTAGCTTATCAACTACTAATGATAATTATAAAAAATTCATTTATAATTATCTTATATAGGTAATTGATAGTGTAATTATTTTATTATATCTTAACTTTCAAATAAATATGTCAAGGAGGATCACATTTCTTGTGCATCCTAAAAGTTGGGATCACAAAAAGTTTGTTCTTCTTTCCTAATTCCCCCCATTCTTGTTCTTGCTGCCCATTCATTCCATAGCCATAAACTTAATACTTGCTCTTTTTGTTTGGCACGTGTACCACGTGTGAATCGCACGCTCCAAAGATAAGGTCACACAAATCACTTCATCCGTGTCACGCATATGCTTAGACACGCTTGGCTTCCTTCACACGCGTGAGAAACCCTAGCCTTCGCATGCTCGCCGTGTTCCGCCGGATTTTTGCCGGAAAACCTTCCCGCGAATCCTAAAATCTCCTCTCCTATCCTTCAGGTTCTTTCTGTAGAGAATATCAATTTTCCTTCCGTCACTCTGCTCCGGCTAATTCGCCGGAATATTTATTATTGTATTTAGATGGATCTGGTTTCTACAAGTGATGCTCGTCGGCTTCTGTTCATGTCCCAGAGCAATTAGATGTGAAATGACGCATTGTAAGTCATCTATCTCTTTTTTCTTATGAGAAAAATTGCTGAAAACGATCTAAAGGATGAATTTTTGGGATAAATTTATCATCTTTTTAGAACACCATTGCAAAAAGGAAAAGAAAAAAAAAGTAAACTAACTTAAGAGTGGTCATATTAATGGGCCTGAATAGAGCTGAATGGAAAAGGGAGTCTTGTAGCCGAGCTCAAGTTATTTGGGATTGAGGTGTAGCTGATTATAAAAACTAAAAAGGTGGTAGTATAAGCAAAAATTGAGTTTTCTTTGGACGGTGCCAAAGATCATGCTTATTTGTTAGCTCAGATAGTTGAAGTAGATGGATAGTTGGTATCTTCTAGATGGTTTTGGGGAGATTGCAATAGCGTGGGATGTTCTTTCATTCTGTGCATGTGATTTAAGTTATACGCACCCAATAGTGTGTTTTTACATGATCCATAATTTTAACGAGTTGTAGCAGGTTACTTACTGTTATCAAACATGCATATTGTAGACTATCTATAATTGTTTTTAAGTAATCTAATAGTGTGGAATTTCTTTTTATTTGTTAGGAGTAGTTTATAAAATTTAAACCTGCATGAATATTGACTTGCATTTTGGAAGCATGAGATTCCTATTTGTTGTAACTTGTAAGTTGGATTTAGGTGTTTAGAATTTCTGTAGTCATTTGTCCTAATGGAATACCTGAAGTAGTGGCTCCGTTCTGCATGTCTTTCCTTTGAAATGCTTTTTGTGGTCTAATCATATTGATATTTTGACTGAGAAATTTTTTGCTAAACAAGGGAGCTAAAGAGCCAAGCCTCTGTAATCATACAAAAAATGTCTTCTGAAATACTTTAGTCAAATTATTATGCTGAAGCATAACGCTGGGCTAGTAGAATGTCATCTGCATGTGAAGTTTGAAATGTGATAAAGCTCGAGCAAACAAAGTGGGAAAAGAAAAGCTGGAAAATGGCATCAGAGATGCAGAGATATGATACAAATGAAGATGACGAAGAGATGGATGTGAAAGAAGAAGATGATGAAGATGAGGATGATGAAGATAAGAATGGCACCATGCATGCAATGGCAGGTTTCGATGGGGCACATGGATCTAGCAGCAGTAATAGGTTTCAACACCATCAGCAATATCAGGAGCCGCCAACCCCACAAGGGGGATCTCGTAGATGTAGGCCATTAGAAGAGAAGGAAAGAACAAAGCTTAGGGAGCGACAACGTAGAGCTATTACTGCTAAGATCTTGGCTGGTCTCCGAAGGCACGGGAACTATAACCTTAGAGTTAGGGCTGATATCAATGATGTTATTGCTGCTTTGGCAAGGGAAGCAGGCTGGGTTGTCCTTCCAGATGGAACCACCTTTCCCTCAAAATCACATTCACAGGTAACTCTCCTCCTCCATTCTAAGCAAAGTATTTCTTATGTTTTTCCAATGTAACAAAGTTCACAGATAGTCTCAATGTGTTTTAGTTAGGCAAGATGAAAAATTTAGGAGGAGATTTGTCAACCGGGGCATATGCATCAATATTATTTTGTTTCTAGTAGATCCCAAGAAAACTCAATATGGTGTTGTTTTTTCAACATCTACAGGTCACTGGCACTACTGGTGGGACACCCACCACAATGGTGACTTCATCATCTTCACATATACCAACACAACATACTCCACCTGCTTCGTTGAAAGGCACGCCTTCTGGGTTTCAGAACACAGCCGATCACAGTGCCTTTCAAATGAAAAGTGTGTTTATACCTGCTTCTTCCCCTTATGATTCATCCTCCACTGCCCGATCACAAACTTCAGCCATGGTTGCAGATGGACAAGACACACAAAATGACCCATTTCTTGTAGGGTCTGGGGATTCAATTGACAAGGAGGTGAAATGGGTAGCTTAACGTATTGTAAAACTTGTAAATTATTTAGGAATACATTTTCGCTTTGCCAATTCATTTGCGTAGAAATCTCTTGAAGTACCAAAACAATAAAAAATTACCTTGGCAATTCCGTATGGATGGTGGATATGGGGTATAATATGTGTAAAATTGAAATTTTTGTTTGAATACTTTTGGAACTTTAGTTTTGCTGTTTCAACGGGCCTATAAGAGCATTCTGCTAATGTTGATGTTTCTGAAATATTTTGTTAGGTTATTGACATACACACAAAGTTACAGGAGCGTGATTTTGCTGGGACACCCTACATTCCTGTTTATGTTATGCTACCTGTGAGGTTTCTGAACTTGAACCTTGTTAATTCTTCCTTATTCTGTCAATTACTGTTCAGGGGGGCTCTTGTATCTCATCTCTGTTTCTCTAGCAACTTGATCCTTTGACATGTGTAACTTGTGTCTTCATTCTACTTGCGTTCTTATTAAATCTTTAGAAGAGGAGAAGATATTGTTTTACAGCTTTCCTCAAGTCATATGTGGTTAACCTGAGGCTTTTTTCCATGTTATATTGGCAGTTAGGAGTGATTAATATGAAGTCTGAGCTTGTTGATGCGGATGGTCTAGTGAAGCAACTGAGAGTTTTCAAGTCAATAAATGTTGATGGTGTGATGGTGGACTGCTGGTGGGGCATAGTAGAGGCAAATGCTCCACAGGATTATAACTGGAATGGATATAAAAGGCTGTTTCAAGTTGTGAGGGAGCATAAACTCAAAATAAAGGTGAGATTCACATGCGCTTTGTTGTGACTTCCTTGTTCTTCCACTTTATCCCATTATTGGTTTATGTGAATGAGTGTAATAGCGGGGAAAGGATGATCCTTTTACCATCAAATGTTAAAGATAAGGACTTCAACTAATTTCTATCTGAATTTTAGATATTTTAAAGGAAGTGATCTTTCGGGACTTGTGATTGTCACCATAGTTATTCCATCATTTTGGACTGCAAATTATTGAGGTTTTATCTGAAAACAGGTTGTGATGTCCTTCCATGAATGTGGAGGTAACATTGGTGATGATGTTTGTATTCCACTGCCTCACTGGGTATCTGAAATCGGTCGAAGCAATCCTGATATATATTTTACAGATAGAGCAGGACGGCGAAACCCTGAATGTCTGTCGTGGGGAATTGATAAAGAGCGCGTTTTGAAAGGGCGCACTGCTGTAGAGGTATGTTATGTGACCTCGGTCAGACTGCACTCTTAGGATTATGTCCTAGTTGTTCTAAGGATAATGAGAAGAATATTTGTGTAGTGAATGAATGACTTCTAGTTATTTTGAGGTTAAGAGAACATTTCTCTTTCTTTATTCTTTTTGGATTGAGGATGGGGCTGAAGAACAGCCTCTACTGACCACAAAAACCTCCAATTTTGCGGACGGTCAAATGTGCCAGAAAAGATAAGATATCCGAGTAATGGAAATCTTTTTCATGTTGAAAGCTTTACTGACCACTAATGTTGGCGCAATATGTATTTTTTTTTAATTGTTTTTTTTTTGTGATGAGTAATGGCAATTTTATCTATCAAGCAAATAGACGATGTAGAGTGTATAATTAGATTGTAATGATTCTTTTATCATTATCAAAAAAAATTAGTGATTGTAATGAACAGGAAATCGAACATGGGTTCAGTGCTGGCACAAGGTGTTTTTTCCATTTTAACTCCTAAGTTCTGGAGATTCTTTATTGTTTTCAGTATGGGAGAGACCCTCGCGACTCAGCATAGGCTCGCAGTGCTGGACATGTGCATTCGGATGAAGAGGAAAAAGAGGCACGCTCGTGGACGATCGAGGATTAGATGGGGAGCTTTAACCAAGAATAAAGCCCACGAGTTGGAGGGGAGGTTATCCGCTATGGGAGCTTGGAGGAGTAGTGGAGACGCGAACACTATGTGGTCAATGACGGCGAGCTGTGTGAGGAAGGCAGCAAGGGAGGTGCTAGGTATATCAAAGGGTTTTTCTAGTAGGCACCAAGGCGACTGGTGGTGGAATGACGTAGTCCAAGGTAAAGTGGAGGCGAAGAAGGTAGCGTACGCGAAGATGGCAGGGAGCACTAGCGAAGAGGAGAGGAGAGCAAATAGAGAGAGGTACAAAGTGGCTAGGAAGGAGGCAAAGATGGCGGTCACGGAGGCTAAGAATGCAGCGTTTAGCCGTCTATACGAGGAATTGGGGGAGAAAGGCGGGGACAGGAAGCTGTTTCGGCTAGCTAAAGCGAGGGAGAGGAAGGCCCGGGATCTGGACCAAGTAAGGTGTATCAAAGACGAGGATGGTAGAGTATTGACGGGGGAGTCCCAGATTAAGCAGAGATGGTAGACGTACTTCTACGGTCTTCTAAACGAGGAGGGGGACCGGGATATAGTGCTAGTGGACTTGGGGCATTCGGAGAGTCTTCGGGATTTTAGGTATTGCAGGCGCATTAAGGTGGAGGAGGTCGTGGGGGCTTTGCGTAGGATGAGTAGGGGTAGAGCGACCGGGCCAGATGAAATCCCGGTGGAGTTTTGGAAGTGTGTGGGTAGAGCAGGATTGGAATGGCTGACTGGGTTGTTCAATGTAATTTTTAGGACGAAGAGGATGCCAGATGAGTGGAGGTCGAGTACAGTGGTACCGCTGTACAAGAACAAAGGTGATATCCAGTGTTGTAACAATTATAGGGGTATCAAGTTACTTATCCATACCATGAAAGTCTGGGAGAGGGTGGTGGAGGTGAGGGTGAGGAAGACGACGTCTGTTTCCGACAATCAGTTTGGGTTCATGCCGGGTCGCTCCACCACGGAAGCTATCCACCTTATTAGGAGATTGGTGGAACGGTACAGGGATAAGAAGAAGGATTTGCACATGGTGTTTATTGACTTGGAGAAGGCGTACGACAAGGTTGCTCTGGAGATGTCTTGAGGTGAAGGGCGTGCCGGTAGCCTACATAAGAGCAATCAAGGACATGTATGATGGAGCTAAGACCAAGGTTAGGACTGTGAGAGGTGACTCGGAGCATTTTCCGGTTGTTATGGGATTACACCAAGGTTCTGCGCTTAGCCCGTTCCTATTCGCCTTGGTGATGGACGCTTTGACACACCATATTCAAGGGGATGTGCCATGGTGTATGTTATTTGCTGATGACATAGTTCTAATTGATGAGACGAGGGCCGATGTTAACGAGAGATTGGAGTTTTGGAGACAGACCCTCGAGTCTAAGGGTTTCAAGTTGAGCAGGTCTAAGACAGATACCTGGAGTGCAAGTTTAGCGCTGAGTCGAGGGAAGTAGGCAGGGACGTGAGTCTTGGGTCACAGGTCATCCCGAAGAAAGATAGCTTCAAGTACCTTGGGTCGATGATTTAGGGGGACGGAGAGATCGACGAGGACGTCACTCACCGTATAGGGGCGGGCTGGATGAAATGGAGGCTTGCATCTGGAGTTCTGTGTGACAAGAAAGTGCCACTGCCACTCAAAGGTAAGTTCTATAGAGCTGTGGTTAGACCGGCCATGTTGTATGGAGCAGAGTGTTGGCCGGTTAAGAACTCCCATATCCAGAGGATGAAGGTAGCAGAAATGAGGATGCTGAGGTGGATGTGCGGGCACACTAGGATAGACAAGATTAGGAATGAAGATATTCGGAAGAAGGTGGGTGTGGCCCCTGTGGATGACAAGATGCGGGAAGCAAGGCTCAGATGGTTCGGGCACGTGCAGAGGAGAAGCCTTGATGCGCTGGTAAGGAGGTGTGATCGGTTGGCAGTGGTGGGTACGAGAAGAGGTAGAGGGAGGCCTAAGAGGTATTTGGGGGAGGTGATCAGGCAGGACATGGTACGTCTGCGGATTTTCGAGGACATGGCCCTTGATAGCAAGGTCTGGAGGTCCAGCATTAGGGTTGTAGGTTAGGGGGTAGTAGCACTTTCCTTACTTCGTTCCGGGGGCGAGGCGGGGTTGGATTAGAGTTGATCTTAGATAGCTTGCAGTTTAGGCTGAATACACTCTGTACTTGCTGTTTATCTTAGCCCTGGGCCTTAGATACTGGTTATTGTTATTGCATGTCTTTCATCTTTTGGTTGTTATGCTTCCATTACTATTACGGTTGCTACTGGAGTTACTAATGAGTTGTCTTTTCTTGTTTTCTTTTTTATTTTCATTTTTCTGAGCCGAGGGTCTATCGGAAACAGCCTCTCTGCCCTATCGGGTAGGGGTAAGGTCTGCGTACACATTACCCTCCCCAGACCCCACCTGGTGGGATTTTACTGGATAGTTGTTGTTGTTGTTGTTATATTTTATGCTTAACGACAATAATCGATTAGGAGTTACTATTACTAAATTGTCAAGGGATTACTGCAGAAAAATGAAAAGCACAACAATTGAAATGTGGATATTTTCTTTTGAGAAGATTTGTGTCATGCTATACTTGCATATTAGATTTGCTTTTAAGAGGTTTTAAAATTCATAGAACTCCAATTTTCTTCTTTGTGTGACTACCTTTGTCAAAAATTATATCTTACCCAGATGTTTGTCTTTTTGACCAATGCAGGTCTACTTTGATTATATGAGAAGCTTTCGAGTTGAATTTGATGAGTTCTTTGAGGATGGTATTATTTCCATGGTTGAAGTAGGACTAGGCCCATGTGGGGAACTAAGATATCCCTCTAATCCTGTAAAGCATGGCTGGAGGTATCCTGGAGTTGGTGAATTCCAGGTAATTTTTTTCCTTTTTCTCTTTTAAGTTGAGGGCAGTAGCTTAGATTTGTATGAATGCCATGCAAAAGGATTTGGTTGTCAAATCTGTATCTGTTTATGCATCACCGTATTCCTGCATGAAGTCAGACTTGAAAAAGAAAGGGCAAAATACAAAATTGGTAGGTCGGCCGAATTTAATTGCATCCGCTGGCATACAAAAAATAGACATTTTGTCGGCTATTATGTTTTGGAGCGGCTAAAAATATACATTTCTCAAAAGGAAGAGGTTTGTCTACCTCTCTTTGCTTAGATGTTGTAGCACTTATTCTCCTCCTAAGTGATTGCACTAGTTGTTAGGATCTCTGTCAAAAATTAGAGCCAAATGTGTATTTCAATCACATGCTTGTGACCATTTATAGCATCAATATGACTTTCTTGTCTCCCATAGTGTTACGACCAGTATTTGCTGAAAAGCCTGCGCAAGGCGGCTGAAGCAAGAGGACACTCATTCTGGGCACGAGGACCCGATAATGCTGGTTCCTACAATTCACAACCACAAGAGACTGGATTCTTTTGTGACGGGGGTGATTATGATGGATATTATGGTAGGTTTTTCCTCAACTGGTACTCTCAAGTTCTGGTTGACCATGCAGATCGGGTGCTTTCTTTGGCCAAGTTAGCTTTTGATGGAACATGCATTGCCGCAAAGGTTAGTCATCTTTAGGGACAGAATTTAATATATGATTACATTATCAGTTGCTATATTCTTCTCACCACAAAAAACAATGACAATAATATTAACAATACTAATAAATAATGGAGTATGATAATTATGCTTTTTTTCTGTTGATAAGTAATTTCCTTTAATTTTCGATACCTTTTTACTAAATATTTTCTTTATCCAGAAAAATCCTCCTTACTATAATCTAAATAAACAGGGACGGTTCGTGACATGTTTCAAGCTTTTCTGTCATTGTCCTTGTGCACATTAAGAGGGTACTGTTTAGTATGCATTGATGTTCTCTCAGTAACTAAAAGTTCTTTTCTTAAACAATTCTCAAGAAGCTTGAATCAAGGACAGATTCAACCAAAATTATAGTAGAAGAGCCAGCTGTCAAATCTCAACTTTACAATGTACTATGAAAGGCACTTAACAGGCAATGGGCTGTTACTTTTACTTGAAAATGGGAAAGGAGTAACCAGCCTTCTGTTCTTGTCATGTTCACATTGCTGTCACCTTATTTGTTCTCTCCACCTTGGTAGCCTTTACTTGCGGAAATCAATTTGGCAGTTACAAATGACTCAGAGGTGGCAACCCACCAAGCCATTGCAAACTAACTTGCATTATTCATCTAGCTGAGTAAGATAGGTTGTGCATAAAGTTTATCCTTAAAATGATAATATGAATAATTACTTTTAAGTTTTAAGCGATTAAAGAATTCTAGGACTCAATTCTACCTCCTGGACTTCGTAGTATAAAGTTCACGGCTTTACGCTTTGAAGATTATGCCTATGATCAGATTGATGGATGTAGAAAATTTATATAGTTGACCCAGCTAGTTCAGAATTGAGGCATTGTTGATTAATTAATTGCTGGTATTAATGACTTCAATGTTTTCCACTGACCGAAATATTTTAGGAGCAAATGTTGGTTGCAAAACCAGTCTAGTTCTGCACTTTGGTCTCCAAAGCCAAAGCAGAAAACAAAATATTTTCTGCATAAAATAGCATTAGTCAGTTATGAAAGCCTCAGAACTAGTTTATAGCTTTATTGCTGTTTTCCCAGATGACAAGCCCAACATTTATTCGCCACAATTAAAAAACAAAACCAAATTGCTCAAATTCAATCCAAACACTCAGAATATTGTTCTCCTACGAAAATAGTTTAGAGCTTTAATAGTGTTTTTGCAGATGACCAGCCAACATTAATTCTCCAAAAATAAAAACAAAACTAATTTTCTCAAATTCAATTCCAAAAACTCAGATTTTTTTTTTTTAATTCTTCTCCATTTGGACTGTTTTCTAATCCAAATGCAATTAGGAATAAGAATATTAGATGTTGCAAGTTTGCTTTTTTTTTTTTTCTTCCGGAAGTGCTTTGGCTAACTTTCCAATACTGTTTCGCCTGCCATACTCACAAATCTTCTTTTGTTAATTTTCAAAAGCTTGCGAATGATAATCATTCAGGTTTTTCTCGCATACACCCTTTGATGAAATTCATGCACTTGAAATAGAAAGTTTTTTATGCTTGCTTTGTCGTTTAGTTGAAGTTCGCTAGAAGAGAAGAGACTTCTTTTATATTAGGTATAGTTGATCCAATTTCTACCATATTTTAAATCTGAACAGCTATCAGGAATTCATTGGTGGTATAAGACATCTAGCCATGCTGCCGAATTAACAGCTGGGTTTTATAACCCGAGCAATCGAGATGGTTATGTTGCAATTGCGGCAATGCTGAAGAAGCATGGAGCTGCACTGAACTTCAAGTGTGCTGAAATGAGCATGTTAGAGCAGACAGTGGATTTCTCTGAGGCTTTAGGTGATCCTGAAGGATTAGCCTGGCAAGTAAGCTTCGAGCACTATAGCTTGAGTTTCATCTATGCTGAAAGATAAATGTCTACTAAAAGGACAGTTTCCTTTGCTATACTTGTAAATCTGTTGACCATTATGTTAACTGCAGATTAACTCACTTTGCCTTCGAACTTCTCATTGCAGGTGCTGAATGCGGCTTGGGATGTTTCTCTACCAGTTTGCAGTGAGAATGCACTCCTGTGTCATGATAGAGGTGGCTATAATTGTTTATTGGAAAAAGCTAAGCTCTTGAATGATCCGGATGGGAAGCATATTTTTGCTTTTACCTACCTTAGGCTCGGTCCCCTTCTCATTGACGGACAGAACTTCATGGAATTTGAACGATTTGTTAAGCGCATGCATGGTAAAGGATTGGAAATCTTCTACTCTTGTGTCAATTTCGTGTCTTCATATTTGGTAATTTTGTGGTTGACTAGTTTGTGATTTATTTGGGTAGAACTAGTTGGGTCAAGACTTGAGGGTTCAAAACAAGTCTACAAAACTTAGATTTCGAAATGAATTATAGACTTAGGATCAGTGATATTGTCTAAGATTTGAATATTAGTTACATCTCTCGTGTTGTGGCTCTAGCTCACCATAAACTTGATTAACTCCAGTCTCCAAGGACGAGATAGAGACTAGTCACCCCTTCAGCCACAGAAGAGTTTGATCTCACACCGCCACCCTGAGTTTGCTTCGAAACAGAATAACAAGTGGAGCTGAGGAAAAAGAAAAAGCAACTAGTAGAGGAGGAAATGTCGTCTTGGAATATGATAATTGATAACCAGGTAACCACGGGGAGATGCTAGTTGAAATCATGGCTAATGGACGTCATATCGATAAGTCAGCTCCTTGCCTTTATCGTCTATGGTTCTTCCGGTGAACAAATAGATTATAAAGCATGTTATTTATCTTGGTGCAAATATTTTATTCCTTAATGATGGTGATTGTTTAGCAGAAATGAGGATGTTGAGGTGGATGTACGGGCACACTAGGATAGATAAGATTAGGAATGAAAATATTCAGGAGAGGTGGGCGTGGCTCCGATGGATGACAAGATGCGGGAAGCAAGGCTCAAATGGTTCGGGCACGTGCGAAGGAGAAGCCCGAATGTCCCAGTAAGGAGATGTGAGCAGTTGGCTTTGGCGAGTACGAGAAGAGATAGAGGACGGCCCAAGAAGTGTTAGGGAGAGGTGATCAGGCAGGACATGGCGAGGCTTCGTCCTTGATAGGAAGGTGTAGAGATCGAGCATTAGGGTTGTAGGTTAGGAGGTAGTGGAGCTCTTTTCTACTTCGTACCGGGTGAGAGACTAGTCTGATAGGGTTGTGTCCTAGACTGCTAGTGGTTATTGTTGTGTCTACACTATTCTTCCACTTTTCATAGTACTGAGCCTTACTTACGTGATATTGTTACTGTTTGTCATCTATTTTCTGGTACTTATGATGCTGTTATTATTTTTATGGTTTCTGTTGATGGTACTAATATATTGTCTTTTTCGTCTCCTTGAGCCGAGGATCTATCGGAAACAAATCTCTCTACCCCTTGGGGTAGGGGTAGTTGTTGTTGTTGTTGTAATGATGGTGGTTGTTCTGCCAGCTATTTATTGACCTATCACCCCCAAGATCATCTCATAGGCAGTATTATGGTGACTTTGTGATTGGTTCCTCCTGTCTGTTTTGCAGGAGAAGCAGTCCTTGAGTTCCAATCGTAGTTCGGGAGAGCAGACAATCTTCACTATGTGCATAAGTTCCCTGACTTCCCTCTTCCTTAGGGAAAGCAGGATTATATATATTTGTCAGTATAATTTAAGCATAGTTCAGGAGAGCAGGCAGTCTCAGCTTGTGAGCAAATCCCCTCTGGGATTACATTTCTGTAGTAGAATGTAAGAATACACTTCCATAGGAAATATGAAGCTGGCAGTGTCGAACTGCAATTTGACATAAGATGTATATTCATGTTGAAGATGATCACATACCGTAACTTGACCTAAGATGTGTGGTTCATGTCGACATACTATCTTAAACAATTTCAGTTGTAGAAAACAAACTAGTTTTCAAGGTGCTCAAAGAATGGATTATTAGCAGAGGAAACTGGATCTTGAAACAGTGATGCACCTTTCATAATGATTATATAATCCGCTTGAATGGTGTAGGAATTCTGTAATTCTACAAAGTATTTTAAGCATATATTCAGCTCAACAATATGGAACTGGAAAAGATGTAATACCATTTTCCCGTCAAATTTTGCATGTCTAAACAATAGTTACTTTCAAGGTGAATTAGCAAATTATACCCTGAATATTGGCCAGCATCTCCTACCCATCATTATTGAATGTTAACCTGATAGGTCTAGTATTACTTTTAAGATGGGTTGTATAAAGTAGACCCTTGTAGTCCGGTCCTTCCCCGGATCCTGCACATAGCGGGAGCTTAGTGCACCAGGCAGCCCTTTATGGTCTATATATATTAAGCCAGCAGCTCTTTTGTTAGACTGGTAGGTCTGCTATTACTTACCGATGTGAATTGGCGAATATAGTCCAAATATTAGCCATGTCCCAAGATAGTACGTCAACACGATACCAACTACGGGGAACTGTACCAAATGAAGAGGCATAATTACTAAACAAGACATCAGTGAATTATGTAATTGAAACCTCAACTTTGATTCTTTTAAATATCTCTGTACTGATGTTTGGGCACCCAAAATTTTGTCCCTTGGAGATAATAACTGATGTGATCCGGACGTGCTATCATTCATGATTCCAATTTCCAACTAGTGAACTAACAAAAACTTGTTTGCCTTTTCTCTACCAAACGCCATCCTACTAACCTATACAAGGCATCAAATGTATTCTAAGGGACCCTATGAAAAGAAAAAATGAATATGACATTGTCCAATTAAAGACTTCTTGACCCAGTTCGCCCGGACTCATCTGTGTAAAAAAAGACGCCCTGCTAAATCATCCCAGCTTTCTCTCCTCTTTTTGGAAATTGTGAGAGAGGACTCCCCTGGTTTTTCAAAATCCTGCGCTTCCTCTATGTCACGGAAAGTTCCGTATGCAGAAGGAGAATATGCTTGGGGAACATCCAGTGCAACTGCCCTCTGCAATGCAGCATTGTGTTCCTCCTTGAGAGACGCCTGTCGCTCCATTCTCTGCTGCACAGGGAAATTCATAGATTCTGCAATTTGATGCCTCTCCAACATCGACTGTGTATAGAGAAAATGAAATAATTTCATGAATAACGATATGAATGTTAGCTCTTAGTATCATTTCCACAAATTTTCTCACAATTAAACAAATCTGGCGGGACAAGAACTTGTTTTCTGGGTGCAATAGAAAGGGGCTCCTCCATAGTGCATTAGTGCTCATAAAACTGCATTTATACATTAAATATATTACGCATTTACCAACAGTTCCACAATGACAACTACTATGCCTCAATCCCAACCATGACTTCTAAAAGGGAAAAAAAATGTGCGAGGATCACCTCTCTAAAAACTGATTTTCCCCATGTGTTTGTTCTAACAAGGTCCTCTAGCAATTCAAATCTAATCATATAAAATCTTAAAGCATTTTAACGTAGTACCAACAGCAAGAAAAAACTTTGTTGATTTCATATGACATTCCGTACTTCAGTCCGAATGCATTAAGCTACGCCCAATAAAGTGTCCACTCATGTCATAGCTGTGAGATCAACTCACAAATGCTACTGATTGGTTGTCGCTGGTTCCAACAAAAAAGTGGCACTTCCAATTTTATATCTCAATGAATATTGGCTTCAAACGGATGTCACATATGCTGAGACGTGAGGGTGCGCAGAGGCGGATCTGGGATTTTAATTCTATGGGTTCAACATTTAAAGTTTTTAACATTGAACCCATTATATTTTAAAGTTATGGGTTCATATCTACTATTTATTGCAACTTTAGTAATTTTTAAGTACTGTGTTCAATTGAACCCGGTAACTGTACACTGCATCCGCCCCAGTGAGTGTGAGTCCATTTGTTTCAGCCTTAGTAGGAGGTTTATCCCGCATTTTTGCTTGTGAATAACAACAAATTTCCCTCCGAGGTGCACACAAGGTGGCTTGGTAAAACATGCCGGCTTCAAGGTCCGCTCACCAAAACGATGTTGCTTTTCCATTACCAGTAGGTATAGAACACACATGTTCAACAAACATATTATTAAATACCCCAGAATGACTACTGTAGGCACGATTGATGACCTTTTCCTTGCCCTGGCAAGTCAGGTTGCTCACCTTCTAAACCATAGTTGAGGTTAAAAAACTAAGTTGTAATTGCTAGACTTTGAGATACTTTTCTTTGGGGGGGTTGATAAGGTGCTACAATTTGAGATATATTCTTAACTGAAAAAAACAAGGGCTACCAAAGGCGGAAATAAACTCTCAGGAACGTCCAACGATGCCTAACATCTATTCTTAATTCAAAGTGTCTTCGAATTGCCTCTTCCTTTTTCCGCTCGTCTTCCTTGACCCTCCTCAATGAAAGAAGAGAGAAAAAGAAAAAGAAGACAAAGCTAGGTTTAACTTCGCAATCAACTTGGAGTTCTTAAGAAACGTCAGAGGATATGGCTGACATAAAAGGAATTATATCTGATGTTTAAGAAAGGAGCTGCACAAAACTTACATCAATTGTTCTTTGTGATTCTGTCAATATCGGAATAATGGCATGATCAGATGTCATGTTGCAAGAGAGCACTATGTGCTCAAACCGTCCATCAACAGGTATAGCAGTCCTCACAATGGGTCTAATATTAGCAAAGCTGCAGCAGAGGCAAAAAGCAGACAAAGCAAAAGCTATTGCATCAGTAACATTCCTGATAAAAAGTTTCAAAAACTAGCAGTCATGAACCTAAATAATTCATTGCTTCGAAATGGCAAAAAGGGAGTAAGTTAATAAGATATATTTCTCTTTGATTAGCATATTAAAGGAAGCTAGTTATGATTAAGGCTTAGCTATTAAAGCAGCTGTATTTGAGAAACGAAATGTATCCAAGTGATTGAAACAACGGATTTTTCTTTTTCAGAGAGAAGAACATCTTCCCAATGGGATGCTACTTAATGCTCTTCAACTTGGCTCCACCAAGTATAAATACTGTTGCTAAGCTAAGTCCTTGAATGATACCAAAATTCTAAAATTCTAGTGTATACTAGTAAAAAAAGAGAGTGAATCAAACCCTGCAAAAGTTCTACATTTTACTTCACAAATCTACATGTGTAAATGGAATTTTATATACCTGAAGGGCTTCCTGACAATAATGTGATAAAGACGACCAGGAGCATAAAGGCGTCTTGGATCTTTTAGCATCTTCTCCTCCAGGGTGAATGTATCCTTCAGGCACATTATGCACATCAAGCACGGAAAACTATAGAGAAAAACACTGCTTGTCAGCCTATGGCTTTGTCACACTAGTCTCTTGGTACCATAAATATATAACCTGATACAGTGTTGAACCAAATTTTTATGTATCAAAAAACTGAAAATAAACAGTGATAATAAATCGATTCTTCAAGCCTCCTATTGGATGTTAATAGGAAACTTTGGGCTTCTTATTGAAGAAGGGGAGCCTTGGCGTAACTGGTAAAGTCGTCATGCGACCAAGAGATCACGGGTTCAAGCCGTGAAAACAACCTCTAAGGTTGCGTACTAGACCCTTGTGGTCCGTCCCTTCCCCGGAACCTGCGCATACCGGGCTGCCCTTTTTGGGCTTCTTATTGAAGGAAGTTTATTTGATAAGGTTACTAGGAAACGTCCATTTGTATAAGTGGCAATCTTCAAATTGGCAAGAAACTCTTATTTTGCAGTCGGAAGGAAAAGATTTTGTCTAGGACTGTCATTGATTCTGTCACACTAAGATTTTGCCTTCGAATTTTATATTTTCTCCATTTTATGATCACAAAGTGCTAAGACAAAGAACCTTCCACCTCCAACCAAGAGGTTGGGATTCGAGTTACCAAGGGAGCAAATAGGAAAAGGTCACTATTGACTCGATCATGGGGTTTTGGGGTGTGGGTTTTATCATATCAAAGATAAATTGAATATGTGATTCCAAAAAGACACGAGCAAATGGACACAGTTGCATTATTATCAAAAGTCGTGACTCTTCTTCCCAGTGGATTCAGTAATTATAGATTGGGAAATCAAAACTATCACTTGGCGTAAGCTTCTAATTACTCAAAGACTGTTTTATTTTGATTCATGCATATTTAATCACATACGATATATACATCAAAAGTCATACTGAAACAAAAGAAGACCTGCAATCTTTTACCAGAAAAGTGACTTGAAAGCATGTTCCAATGCTACAGTAGTCCGAGGTAAGAAATCATCCTGATTGGTCATGGAAAAGGTGTGTCAAAATGTGATGATAAATTCTAAGCGAACAGGGATGACTATGGAAATAGATTATCCAACAAGACAAGAAATATACATCAGATATTAGACCTGGTTGATGAGCAACAAAAGTATCCTTCCTAAATTTGGAACCAGACCTACCTTTTCTAACAGGAATCGATTCCCAAGAACAAAACGTCTACCTTCCTTCATATGTTTTGTGTAAGCGTAGCTCTACCTACAATCCAGTAGATTTTTCTTTGAAATGACAGTTTAGTTCCTTCAAACTAACATTTGCTTCACTAATTGCGGGGGAACAACTCTTTGCTCAAAATTATGAGAGTTACTTCATCCCACAACATTGATATGACACGAAACTTATCAAAAGATAATCACTATTCAAATGCTTCTTACGTGGCATATGTTTGAAGAGATATAGTTTATGGTGAAGGTAAACTAACTAATAATTACAGACTCATTTACAACATGCTATAAGCTCAATCCTATTAATATTGCACTTCAAGGATAAAATTTAAAAGAAGAAAATAAAACTTCAATGGTATGCTCTTTAGTAGAAGGAGTTCTAATATCAGATAAAGAAAAACATCATCGAACTCACATATCTGGTTCACCTTTTCAGTAAGATAAGTCTAATAATACTAGTCAAACTGAAGCAAATAATTGTATCAGACAACAAAGAGGACCTACACGGG